GGGCGCGGGCGTGCCCGGGGCGGCCGGCGCCGCCTCGGCGCCGGCGCCGCCGTCGCGGCTCTGAATGCTCAGCCGCCGCTGCAGCGCCACCGGCGCCGCCTCGGCGCCGGCGCCGCCGTCGCGGCTCTGAATGCTCAGCCGCCGCTGCAGCGCCACCGGCGCCGCACGTGGCGAGCCGCCCGCGCCGGTGCCCGTCGGCCGGTTGAAGTGCTGCGGGCGCACGACCGCCGCCGCGGCCGGCCTGCCGGCGCTGCCGCTGGCGCCGGCGCGGCTCTTCCGCTGCTGCTGCTGCTGCCCGCTCTCCCCCAGGCGCGCCAGCGCGCCCTGTGACCCGTGGTACAGAAAGTACGCCGCGAGCAGCGCGCCATAAACCCCCGTCGGCATCAGCCCTGTCACGGCCACCACCGGCGCCCCGACCCGCAGCGGCCCCAGCCGCAGCGGCCCCAGCACGACGCGCAGCACCGCCTTGGCGGCGCCGACCGCGGCGCAGCAGGCGCTGGCGCTGGCGGCGGCGACCAGGAAGAATTTTGTCGCGTCCGAGGCGGCGAGCGCGCGCACGTGGCGGCTGGCGACGGCGTCGACAGCGGCAAGGGGCGGGGCGCCCGACTGCGCCTCCTCGCGCACCTCCTCGGCGATTGCGACCTGTCGGCGCGGCGCGTTTGAATGCGTCCGGGCGGGAAGGCGGGCGTGTGGAGACGTGATAGTGGCTTGAGCGACGTGCAAGCGAGCCTTGCAGCCCATGGCGAGCAACTAGGAGTCCATGGGACGAGCCATTCGCAGCCACGCACCGCCAACAGAGCATGCAGGCCCCCTTGCTGCTGCTGCTGCTGCTGCTGCTGCTGCTGCACCGCACGCGTCGCGCCAACCCTTTGGCTGCTCGCAGCGCCGGGTGCCCCGCCCGGCGCCCCGGACTGGATTGGGGCGCGCCGCGCAGCTGGGCGCACCTGCCTCTCCACGAGCGACCTGAGCGGCTGCAGGCACATCACCTCAGTCGACAAGTCGCGCACGCGCTGAGGCAGCTTCCGGGGGTCCAGCGCCGACCGCACGCGCTCGACGCGCCGCCGGCGCGCCGGCGTGCCCCGCTGCGCCGGCCTAGGCTCGTCCGGCGCGCTGCGCGGCTCGGCCGACCCGCTGCGTGGTTCCAAGGCGCTGCCGCCGATCTGCATCTCGCTGCGCCGAACGGCACGCATCACGCGCCCGGGCGCGCCGTCGCTGGCGGCGCCGCAGGAGTCCTCGATCACATCAAACGAGGTGGATCGCCTCTGATGCAGGGACCTCCGAGCGTCGGCGAGCGCGCCGGTGCCATCCGACTCTAGCACCGGTGCCTGCTGCGTCAGGTTGGACATGCCAGACAACTTGAAACCGAATGCGCGCTAGCCAGTAGTCCGCCTGATGGCTACTAGCCTGTCTCGGGTCGTCTCCAATAACGCGTCAGCCAGGCTCACGGAGCTCAGTAACAGGATAAAACTGATTTTTCAATGCAAGATTTTCTGGACTGCGGGTGACCCCGCCCAACCCAGGCCCGTAGGGAGTACGTGGGAGTGCAGGGAGACGAGGCCGTCCAAACAGGGCAGTTGGGCGGACTGATGAGCTCAGATTCAAAAATTGAAACTAGATGACCGCGATGCGCACAGACAGAGCCTCTGCGGTGTGCATCGCAGGGGTCGCCTTTGCGGCCGCCTGCTCGGTTCTCCCGCCAGGCGCCGGCGGGGCGAATGTATGTGCAATTCGCGGGCATCACGGGCTGATGCAGCCTGTTGACTTGTACAGCACACAGAAAGTGATTGTGGATTTTGCAGGCGCTGCTGTCAACCTGATGCTTACCGTACATACACGCTCCCTGTATCTCCTCGCTCCCCTGCAGCAGGCTGTTCCTATTGATGCATCAAGAGTCAAAACGTGGCAAGCCCAGCATCGCGGCAATCCACTGCAACGCTCAAATTAGGTTTGGTATCAATGTATTGAGCGGGTAGGACAATTGTAGCAAGTGAGCAGGGGGAACCTGTGCACAAAACTTGTGCAATAGTGGTGGGCAAGTTCAAAATGCGCCAAGCAGTCTAGGAGCAGGTTGAAGCCATCATGTCCACTCCCGGCTTGGCAGCAACACGCTGACTCACATGGCACCCGGAACACTGGAGTCATGTCCACGCAACGTTGAGACCAAGAAGTGCGCACGCCGTGCGCACATATCTATAACTTGATCCAGTGGATGCAATCACCCGTGCCAGTACATTGGCACCGGGCATCATCCACTGGCGGCGGCAGCACTAGCAGAAGCATACTCAGCAATAGAATCACAAGAACAAAAAATGGAAAACAGAGGCAGAAGAGACCAATACAAGCAGGATTGTTCTCGAAGGGGGCCTGGTTTGGGCTACTTGCCGCCGTGCACACTCTGGATTTGCAGAGGGATGGCATCCGATGGTGCACATGTTGGGACCATCAGCCACAAAATGAAACACACATTGATAATTCACTCCAGTATCTAGGAGTTTTGCAACAGATGTCTGGACCTCAGCGGAGTTTTGCCCCCCTGGCTGAGCTTTGGATGGCTCACGAGTCAACCAAAGGATTGGACACCGACGTGCAGGCAAGCTGGTCGTGCTTTCCGCACCTCATGTATGCTATGAAAGGTTGCATGTAAACTCACCGGTCTCGACGAGGCTTTGGGCAGCGCGGTTTGTACCCATCATCGACAACAGGCGAGCTCTCGGAGAGTCCAAATTGAATGTTTCCTGCTTCGTGAATGTAATAAGTAACATAATGTCTAGAGCTTTACATATATAGCCGATATTGCTGCAAGCTGATTCAAAAACACGGTCAACAGCAGGCCCGCTTGCAACGACATGCCGCGCCTGCTGGCCGCTCCCATGGCAGCAGCCCTCGCCGCGGTGCTGTTGCTCCTGCAGGCATGCGCGGCAAACGCCACCACCGCGCCGCGCCGCCTGATGAAAGAGCCAAGCGTCGCGAAAGCCGAGGGGCCGCGTCCCATCGATGATGGACTCGGGACCATCGCGCCTGATCCAGTGCCGGCCACTGGCCGCTTTGGCGCACAGCTCGACGAACTCCACGGCCAAAGCAAGCACGGTGTTTACGAAGCCCATGGCTACGGCTACGGACACATTGGCTATGGCTACGGCAGCTATGGCGGGTACGGCGGCCCCGCCAAGGTGCACAGTTTCTTGGGC